GCTGATTCGTCAGAAAAGTGAATATACAAATATAGAGGAGTAAAAATATTAAAAGAATTGGAAGATTGATTGAATATAACGGTCTTTATGAGCAGAACAGTGCAGAACAGTATGGTACAATACCGTTGCAATTCACTCACATATATATATCATGATGTTATGCCGTGATCTATTCAAACGTACGTCAGAAGAAAAACCCACTTGTGGATATGTGCCATAGTGGGATAATGATGGACTCTGAAATATGTATATATGAACGAGATTCGTTATTCCTTAAATTGTACAGAAAAACAAATACATTCATTCGGTTTAATTCAAACACAGATAACTAAAACGAATTTTGATAAAATTGTAAATCAGCAGTTGTCTTCAGTACATTATGATAAATTGAAATATGATGATGCTAGTTTTGGGCACATAAACGGCATGTATACTTAGGAGTTCTATCCTGTTATACATTCTTTTCTCGCTTTACATATAAAGATCTTACTTATACTACTTATTACTACTTATTCTTTTAATATTTTTACTCCTCTATATTTGTATATTCACTTTTCTGACGAATCAGCTGAAAAAAAACATCCGTTGTTTGATATCTCGGCTTCCTTAAGTAACAGAGAGTTCTTTCGTTCAGAAGTGAATATACAAATATACTTATCGTGATATAGTCATAATAGAAGACGGTTTAAAACAATATAATGTTGATAGAAAAGTAATAAATTAAGCAACAAATTCAATTATCTGAATTACATAAGTCTCCTGTCATATAAGTGGTGAATAACTGCTACATTATACTTTTTACTCATCTAATCAAAACATTGATTAGTGAAAGTCGATTGAGCAACTTCAGCCGTGGCTTATGACTCATAAATGTTGACAGACAAAACCAGATCACTATTGCAAAATAAATTTTGATACAACATAAATCATAAAACAGAAACAGTGGAAAAACATAAAAGAATGAATACAACAAGGAATATGAATATCATCAATTGTTTTAGTCACAACCATAACCATTATGTAGTAAATTGAATTTCAGTATTCGTGCATTTTCAATATCAACAACATATAAATTAAAATCTTTATCAAATTTAATTTGCACAGGAGAAGATAACTGATCTAGTCGGAGTCCAGAAATGCCGCTTTCACTTCCAGCTATTGTTCTTCCTTCAGTGGAATTTATTAACCATTGCTGTATACGCTCATTCTTAGAATCAGCAATATATATTGTTCCACCATCTGTTTCATGAACATAAACACCGCTAGGCCAGTATAATTGATTTTTCAAAGAACCTGCCCCATTACCACCAGCAACTAATATACCGTAATCTGAATTTTTTATCCATTTAACAATTCGATTATTATATGTATCAGCAATATAAATTGTTAAGTTTTTATCAATATAAATCAAGAAAAAAGGAAATATAAATAGAGAAAAAAGGAATAAAATGTATGGCTGAATATATGTGCATGCATTAACCGAAAACAAAATATATGACATAACAAAGAAAGAGAAAACATTATATTGCATCATACATAACAATTTATGGACTAGCACATGGTCTAAATGCTAGGACATAACAGTTATGATAAGTGAAATAAACTTTATTTCTTAGATAAGAAAACCGAAACCGAAACCGAAAAAACTTAGCATTCACGTATGCCTCTAGCCAAACATGTCTTGTTTAATTCTGCCCAATTGTTTGAATTGTTTGATAGCATCATGGGCCTCTCTCTGTGTTAAATTATCTTCGCTGCATGACTGAAAAATCGAGGCTAATGCCGACTCGATGCCTTGACAAGAACGAATGGATCCACACATGTACACAAAACCATTTTCCTGTGTTAACATGGAATAGATCATGCTATCGTATTCTAGCATTGCGTCTTGAATGTATCTTTTAGCGGCCGTGTTTGTTCGTGAATATACAGGAATCACTGCTGTCAACAGCTTGTCATTTCTATCCGTTTCGCTGGTCAGTGCTTGAAGCTCTTTTGCATACAGAAAATCACTTGGTGTACGACAGCCTATGAATAAAACGCGTTCTACCTGCACACGTCCTTGTGATCGTTCCAACACTTGCAGCTCTTGCCAGAAAGATCGAAATGGCGCAATGCCTGAGCCGATGGCGAACATCAAAATCGGAGAATTAAGCGGAACAAACGAGTCACCATCGGTGACCATTTCTGTTGTCAGACTCATAGTCAAATTGTCTTGACCAGGCAAACGGAAATGAGGGTTGGGCAAAATGAACAATCGCACCTTGCTTGCCTTCCGTTGCCATGCTGCTTGTATCTTGTGGCCCTGTGGAGACAGCTGAGGCAACGTTTGCTGCAAATAATTAGTGCACACGCCCTTTCTGATAACCCCATGTGGGGTCGTATAGGTGACAACACTGAACGTAATGTGAAGTTGATTCGGATGAAAATGATTAGATGAGGATATTGAATAATATCGTGGCTGGAGTTGTGGTAAAAGCTTAAATAAACGAAAAGAAGAGTTACGTATATATCTCATGTTACGTCATGATCAACGAGCACACACGTGTTCACACTCAAGAAAGTATCAGTTATGCACTTATCGAGGTATCCCTACTCAAGGCTTCATTTCTGAATCTATTTCCGTATTTTTACCTGTATCAGTTCATCAAGGGGAATTTGAATGGAAGGAAACTGCTCTAGCATTTCTTTCACTGTTGGCAAATTGACGAGCCAGTCCATATACCGTTGTCCACCTTTTCCTAATTCTAATATTTGCCTTTGTTGGCTTGGATCCGTAGCATACGTAGCAAAGGTATTCAGCGTATGTGGTCGTGGTGTGGTAGTTAAATCAACGAAATGTGTCAATATTTGACGCAAGGTTTTATATTTGCCATTTGTAAAGGATTCTAACGAGCAGGATTCATTCAGAAGTTTGTTTCCTAGCTGCCATCCGCACGCCAGAATGACGCCATTCACATTTGCTAATGTATTTTCAGGTAGAATGCACACATGATCACCAGGATAATAAGTCAAGCCAGTTGAATCAAGTATTAGTAAACGAACAGAACGATACTCATCGTTGTTGACATTTGTAAAGTGAGACGGAATCGGAAGCTTTTTGCTGTGTGCTGAAGCAGCCGACGGTAGCGAAGCTAGTGGTTGAGATTCCTGTGGCAAAGGATCACCAATAATATTATTAGCGCCCGTCAATTCAATGTTTTGTATCACAGTGGCACTGAATGGATTGTCTTTTGTGAAGGGTCCGACTTGTTCTGATCGGCTTATTTCATCACTGTCTGGATGAAATTTTAACGGAATGTAGGTAGGTCGAACAGAGATATTGATGTTGACTTGTTGCTCCACGTACGAAGTTGCGCGTTGAAGAGAAGGAGGCCGGGGTATCGAAGTGGATCGCGCAGGATGAATTACCGTACCAGTGTGTGGATACATTTTTTTCAAGGCTATAATGGTGGTTTCTTCCCATTCAGTATAACTTTTGTATTGTTGATTGAGCGCATCACAAGTGGCAAACGGAACAAGACGCTGGCCACCAAGTTGTTGAAATGCCCGGTCTACTAATTTGCCAAATCCACAGAAAAACGGATATGCCGAAGAACCAATAGCGCAGACAGCGTACGTGTACCGTTTCAATGAAACTTTCCCTGTTTTAGTCGATCTACTGTCAGCATGCATCTGCATACTATGTCTCTTATCATTGTTGTTGCTGGTGTCATCCTCGTTTGTTTCTTCTTGTAGCCATTCTTCCACCATTTGTCCACCGTCTGGTGCATTTCCTTGGCCGAATGTGGATGTAATAATGAAAACAATGGATCGACTCTGCGTGGATGGTTGTTCAAATGAATACGAATCTAGTTCCATCAGTTTTGCATTGTAGCCGGCAGTCATCAGCCGTTTTATCATTTGTTCGGCATAGGATTGAGCTGTTCCGCTTGCAGATGCATAGAGAACGTTAACAAATACTCGTTTTCTCACCGCTCTTAATGCAAAACCAATAATGGTACACCCAGCGCGTACTATCAACCACCGATGACGTGTGTTGGTTAGTGACATTTTCAGAGCCGGCTTCTTTCGCTGAAATGGTGCATAATATGTCCATGGATCACGTTGATCTAACACGCGGGGTTTGACGACGTAGTTCAGCATTTCTTGATGAAATAAAGTGCTCATTCCACCACTGATGGGTGGCACAAGCCAGATCCAATCGGCCGGTGTATTGCCTCGTTGCTTGACTTCTTGATCCAGAAATTTCATGAAGCCAGTGGCGGCTGTGTGATGATCAACAATGGCCACTTTTGCTTGCTCGAACGAATAGAGGACGGCCGCGTTAATCTCCACATATATTCGATCAATATTCAACTGACTGTTGGCCGCCGCCGTTACATCGAGATTTAACAAGTTGGCTAACTTTGGAATGAAGTTGTAACGTTGTAGATCGCACAGATTTCTGCCCACTTCCGTTTGCATAAACCAGCCACTGAAGGGAACACATTGATAAACAATACCGCCAATCTCGATTGCTTTATCGCTGACAAAAGGCTGAGCAAACCATCGGAGACCCAACGATCTGATTGCTGCATCGTACTTCGGATCTGGATGCGAGAGAAAAACTTGAAATTGCAAGTCCTTCGGAAGATCGTACCAGCTAGGAGGGACATCGGGATCACACTGAACAATAATCGGCAACACATCCCATTGTGTTCGTTCTTTTTCTCGCTTGTTCCAGCCAATTTCCATTGCTGCCTTAGTTAGCTCTCGATTCGCTGGGTCGCCGAGCAATGACCCATCAACTTGTTCATAACAAGCATAACGCAAATACTGAGTTGACCATGTACGAGCTCCCCTTCCAAAGACGAGAGTCGTGGCTTGCAACGTACCTTTGTTGAACGCCAAACGCATATGATCACATATTTCTTTGAACATTTCATCATGGGTTTGTACATGACGTCGATCAATGACTTTCAATTTACGCCAAAACAATCGATTAATGCAGCGAGCTGCGTTCCGCCAGGCCAGTTGACAGCCGTACTCGATTTCATCGAACGTTTGCGTGTATGTGCCGGTTTGTTGGATCTCGCGATCAATTTCGTGTAATCGATTCTGATAATCTGTGTCTGAAGTACCTTTGTCAGTATGAAAAATCGAGAGAAAATCGTATGCCTCCTTTCTAATCTTGTCGGGTGACATTGATTCCGATTCGACAGTTGCATGTTCATTAGATGATTTATTCTCGTGAGCATGTGTGGCAAGTGACATTAACGTTGATGTGCATACATGATGACGGCAATCCCAGTTAGGATCAGACACTGGGCAACTCACTTCAATGGATTGACCCGATTGATAGTTACGAAGTTGTTTAGACTTGGTTTCCGGTATCTGACGCGATGTGTTGTGATCACCATTTGGCGATAATGCTGGACCATTTATAGCTGTAAACGTTTTATCGTTGATAAACGGACATTTGTCTCCGTTCATGAGAACCATGATGTCTTTCGTACCTATTGCGTATAAAATGTTTCTTTAACTGTTTTGTTCCTCGAACGCATGAGCTACTATATTCGACGAGTACAATCGTGCACTATATATATTCGAACACAGATAAGAAGGGTGATATCATTCCACACCTTCATACGGAAATGACGCAGCAAAGGTATGTATTTGTTTGCCAATTGTTTAGTACAGAAAGGAATGAAAATGAATCTAAAACACCTGAATGATTCATTTTCATTCCTCCCTATGTACACGTAACGACTTGGTAATAAACAACAAATCATTCCCCTTGTTGCTTAATAACAGAAAAAATCCAATCCTTTTTAGTATGAAGGCGTGAAATGACATCACTCTTCCTATCTGTTTTCGAGTAATGATAGTTTAAGATTGTTTTCGTCGCATATTACATCGTTCGCTTGGAAAGCAAGGGTCTCCAAAACGTGAAATGTTTCTTTTCTTCTTTTCGTTTCTCCGAGCGGAGTCGGCAGTTGTAAACGGTTGATTGCACTTAAATTGTGCAAAACTTTAAATTGCTATGATATTTTGCTGTGACTTTGACCGCGGTCCTCTCACGCAGCAAGCTCGAATATGAAACTCTGAACACTAGAGCTTCGTATGGACCTAAAAAGCGTCAGTTTCTGACAATGTGACCCTTTTTAGAGAGTACACAGTGTATAATTACGCATTTGGCAAATGGATCCGAAAGCGACATATCTGAATCGAACAATACTATAAAAATGGAGCTTAAGGTTATGTTGAAAGACAACGTATCAATCTCATCACGTCAATATTACCACAATGAGCTTTCGAAAAGTTATTCTATCTGCAATGCAGCAACGGAAACCCTGTTCAGTTTACAATAACTAGCATTTTAGAAAAATACATGTTAATAAAGATTCAAGTATTTTGTTAAAATGTACAACGAATAAATGTTCAGCATCGATTACAGTTGATTAAAATTATTATCTTATTTGAATTTGCTGTTTTCTCTCATTTAAAACGCACTCAGTTTTGGACTAACCTTCGCAAATACTTTGTTCGTTGAATACTTCAGGAAAAAAACCAACTACTTTAATAAGGTATTGTATCGTATTATTCTGAAAATAAAATACCTGAGATGTGTGAGGACTCGTGTACGATCCTAGTACAGTTCTTCGATTTGGGTTATACTCTGAAAAGTTAAACAAATATCAAATCGGCCAGTATAATAACAAATATCAAATCTTGAGAAAAAGGTAATGTGCAGTTTTTTATGTATGCAGTACTGACATGCGATAAACAGATAAATTCTAACAAATTAAAAAGGTGAAGTCATGTTGTGTGCTCGAGGATAGTTAGGGTATTCATGTTTGAATGTTAACTCGTGTATCTCGGACCTCTTTCATTTCATCACTAATAAAGATATATATATTTGAGGAGAATTGGGGGTGCGAAAATACTAAGAAAGAAAAAGAAAAATACGCGTGAGAAAAGTGTAATCGATCTTTCGCCGTCGAAAGAAGAAGAGAAACAAACAGACAGGGTGTGCATATTACCGTTTCTTTTTACCTTGACAATAACTCTTATCTATGACCATCATTTATTGGCATAGTGGCTAATGCAGAGTTGATTGAAAATTTAATTAAAAGAAACACCAAAATGTTACACTCTTATTGTTCAATTGTGCATTTCTTCAAATATAAGTGAACAGCTAATTATCTATTTTTCCTGTATCAAAGAACTACGAAGTTTTTTTCAACTAAATAGAGAACAATACATTTTGAATAACGAGAAGAGGACCTAATCTCGAGTTTCTTGGATTTTTTGTGAGAATCATGCCATTTTCTTGTTGAAGATCAGGACCAGAGTTGCTCATCACAATTTTATGATTATATATGTATGAGTTTTCTGAAATAAGAAGTTGGAAACGGAAAAAAAGCATACCATTTTAGATCTACATTGATAAGTCTAGTTCTATGAAAGATCATGGGAAAGACAACTCATTTTGTGATTGACATTATACAATTCAACTAATATAAACATGTCCAATCAAACAAAAAATTACGGATGGTGCCGGAAGTTTTGTAAATTTTAATACTACTCTGCCAAAACTTATTCAATCCGCGAATTATTGTAACCCTAGGTTCTTGGAGAATTGGAAATTGGACTATTTTTCCATTCATAATACGTTTTCAAATCGAATCGATATAAAAAGCCTTGCCAGAGTAGCAGCTGTCGGTGCTAAAATGTGAAACTCATAATTATACTATTATAGAATAAATCAGCTTACTTTTGTAAGATCAAGTAAAGACTCTTTTAAGATCGCGTAAAGGAATAAGCACCATTTGAGAACAAGAAACTTAATCGAGCCTATGGCTACATATTAGAATCCTCCAGAAAATGTCTGAGGAGAAAACATAGTATCCTCATGTAACCCTAGTAAAAAATCGAAACATAAACGCAAAGATACCACCAACTAAAGTCAGATTTAACATACACTCAAAAACTCATAGAGGATAAATATAAAGCAAAAATCAAACATTGTGTAAAAGGCACTGCAAATCATGTAAAGCCATCCTTCAGAGAGTGTACATCCACATCTAGTTACAGCTCAATGTCTCTAAAAGATCCAAATTAGCTAATATACGACTGGTTTTTGAGTATAAAATGAAATTCCCTCTCCTTTGTCAGACGGGAGGAGTTTCATAAAAAAGTTTTTTATCACGTATAATCGAATATGTATCTTTTGGGTATATTTCTTGAGATACTTTTTAGTTTTGAATTGAAATTTAGATGCCTTCATTCACGATATGTCCGTTCTGAGCGATACATTACAATAACGTTGAATATTATTTTCATTATATTCGATTGTGTGATAAACACAATTCAGATAATACATACAACGTGCTATATCATTATTAGGTACATTTACCGAATTACCATAGCGCCTAAAATCATATTCGTTTTTTTGGTAATAAGCCATCTTCTAAAATTCTACAGTTTATGATATAGGTTTG